TACAAATATTTACAAATCAATGATTCACTGTGATATTTTTATACTTGCATATATGGTATACTGAACATGTTCATTCACCCTTCTTCTAACCCCAGTTCCCTGTAGTTTTCTTAGTGCCTAAAAAGTGAGACTAGATCCTTACCTCTCTTTCCCTCTCCTAAATGAAAAGGGAACTTGTCAGAGAAAAGGTTTTGTGAAATGCAAAGCTTTATTCAAATGTAAATTATAACCTTTACCTTTAACTCCATGAGAAGCCAAAGATATTTTTGTTTTTAACTTTTTACTATGGAAAACATTCAACTATATAAAAGAATAACATAACAAAGCTGTTAATAAACCCAACACCCAATATAAAAATTATGAATTCATGGCCACAGTTATTTTTTATACCCATGGCATCTACCCCCCTTCACTGGATTGTTTTTAATCCCATTATTTATTTATATTTCTTCATAATCTCTAAAAGTTAAATAACCCTTAAAAGCATGGCCATAATACTGTTATAATACCCCAAAATAATTAATAATAATTCTTTACACCAAATATCCTACTGTGTAGACTTTTCTAAGTTTATTTGTTCAAATTAGAATTCAAATACGGTCCAATTACTTGGATTCATGTCTTCTGAATGAATCTCTTTTAATGTATGGGGTCTGCCTCGTGTCTCTTTTTCCATTGGTAATTCATTTATTTAAAAAAAGACCATTTGTCTTGTAAATTTTCCTTAGTCTAGTTTTTATTGACTGAATCTTCCTGATTATTTAAAAAATATACATTTTATTTTTTAGAAGTCTTATATACTTAGAGAAAAATGGTGAGGATAGTAAAGAGAATTCCCATACACTCTAGTCAATTTCTTCTACTGACATCTTACATTAACATGGTCCCTTTCTTATAACAATGAACCAATAATGAGTATACTTCGTATATTACTATTAATAAAAGTTCATGCTTTATTCAGATTTCCTTAGTTATTATTTATTGTCCCTTTTCTGTTCCAAAATAATAGGCTATTTTATTGCAATTGTTTCTCAGTCATTTCTGGGAAACAGCATGACAACTTTAGATGGAATATTTGTATCCCCCAACCCCAAATTCATACATTGAAATCCTACCCCTAATGTGCTGGTATTAGGAAGTGGGACCTTCAAGGAGTGAGTAGGACATGAGAACAGAGCCTTCATGGATAGGGCTAGTGATCTTATAAAAGAGACCCTAGGGAGCTCCCTTGCCCCTTCCCACCTATGAGGTTTCAGAAAAAAAAAAAAAAAAATGGTCTTCTGAGAAGCAAGAACTGGCCCTCAACAGACACTAAATCTGCCAGGCCTTTGATCTTGGACTTCCCAGCCTCCAGAACTGTGGGAAATAAACTTCAGTTATTTGTAAGCCATCCAGTCTCTGGTCTTTTTTCCATGGCCCTAACAGTCCAAGATGATAATTGAAGCTTTACTGGTCAAGTATTTCATAAAGTGTCCTTCTATTGAGATTTGTCTGGTGCTTTTTTTTAATGATTAGATCAGGGTTATCTTTTGGGAAGAAAGATGACAGCCCCAAAGTATCCTTAAATCATTTCATCACATTATATCAAAGGTACACTCGCCCACCATGACTTACCAGTGTTGGTGTTGACCTTGAACAACTGAGTAAGGCAGTGTTTATCAAGTTTGTCTACAAAGTGACTATTATTCAGCCTCCTGATTCTATCCTGTGCTCTCAGGAAGGAGTCACTCTATTCACAGTGCACACTTGAAGGTAGAGAACTGATGCTACACCTCCTTGACGACAGAGTACCACATATTTTCAATTCTTCTGCATGGAAGATTTTTCTTTTCTCCCATATTTCCTTTTACTTATCTATTATTGATTTAGGTCAGCATAAAATGGTAGATATATGGTACTTTGGGTTATAATCCAATATTACTTTATTTTGCTACTTAAGTTGTATCAGCTCTAGACATTGAGATCTCATTTTTTAGGTTCCTGTGCCTCTCTCACTTGGACATTTGACATGTTTCTACCTATATGCACCCCCTCTCTTCCTGTCCTCCCTTTTCTTCCTGATCCTCCTCCTCCCCTTTCTCTCTCATACTTCTGGCATAACCAGGTGCTCCAAGCACAGTATCTATTCCTCATGTACATTTCCTGCCCAAACACTAGAACCAGCCATTTCTCTAAAGAACCTTGTATTTTTTTATTTGAAAAATAATGTTAGAAGCCAAGATCAGGGCAAAAAAGTAAGCTTCTTGTTACTGTGCTATCATTGCTTCTAGACCCTCTCAAATGACAGAGCATAGAATTATAAGTGTGTACACTAGCCCCGGTATAAACTCAGATCTGTAAATAATATGTAGACATCTGTATCTAAACATTAGTTCATATTAATGTCTCTAATTCTAATTCACTACGGCATGGATCATGCTGGTCTCTTCCTGATATTTTACAATGATGTTCATTTGTAGTTCTTATATGTTGGTAGTTGTTAAATTGAGATTCAACTTCAACATTTTAGCAAGAATATTTCATAGGAGGTGGTGTGTTCTTCCATCAAGAGGTAAATAATAAACTATGCTATTTATAACCATTGCTGATAATTACTTAGGATGCATTAATTTTTTAAGTTTAATATTTTTGATTAGCTTTCTCCTTATTTGATTAGCTGCAATGCTTTCATAAAAGAAATTTTCCCTCTTCTACTATTTACTAGCCCTGAGGTAAAACCCATATTTAAAAGGGAATAAAAATGCTTAATTCCTTTCCTTATTATTTTTAAATAATTAATTGGCTTTGTAGAATCCTCCAAGGATGACCACGGAGTGTTTTTGTCTTTTTGAACCACTGTAATCTTGGAACAGCTTTTTAGCACTGGAATCAGCCTCTATCTCTAGTCTTGACTACAGGGCAATATGCCTGAGCATGGCAGAATAGGAGTTGGGACAGGTACAAGATTGGCAAAAACAGAAAGCAAGATAAGATTGGGGGAATCTTCGATGCCTCAAAATTCAATTCATCCTGAAAAAAAACCTCTGGTCTCCAAAGTCATTAATTTCTATATATCCAGTACCTTGGTTTTATAGTTATTTCGGTTTTATAGCCTTAGAAATACCTGAATCCATCTTTAAAAGCCACAAGCAACCAGGAAAGAAAACCAGAAGAGTCAATGATCTGGAAAGGGCAGGTTTGACCCTATATTCTATTAACAACAACAACAAAAAAGTCATCTAGGAGAAACCAAGCAACCTTGGAGTGATAGTGGCAGGGAGATTACAGTCGTTCTCTGTCATGGTTTTTTTTGTTGTTGTTGTTGTTGTTTTGTTTTTTACAATTTACTTGAAACAAATTTGAAAAAATTAACCATGTCCCAGCAACAACCCCATGGATTCTGGTAGGACCCTGGAAGTTCTTAAAACCATTTTTTGCAAGGTGACCCTATGTTTAACCAGGAGCATTCTCCACTCCCCTAGAACTCTTAGTGGGATGAAGACTGTACTACACCTAGGGCCTCATCATCTCCATCCGGTTGCCTGATGTTAGATGTTGCCCTGCTACTCAGAAGACCAAGCTAGGAAAGATGATGCCAAGAACAGCTCATCCCCCTTAGCAGAGCTGAGGGATCAGGAATGCAGCTGAGCTCCAAACCTGGGTCTTTAACCTAAGACTCAGCACTGTGCCCCCATCCTCCACTCCAAGAATGGCTACATTCACTTTGTGCCTGGCACAAAGTTCAGAGTGCTTTACATCACTCCCAATAGGTCGGGATCATCTCCATGTAACAGCTGAGCAGCCAGGGACCTGAGAGAGTTAAGTGACTGCTAAGTCACAAGCCTAATTCTGGGAGAGCTCTGGGCTCACCATGGGCTGTCACTTCCTGGCTGTGACTTTATGCCCAGGGCCCTCTCAAGGAGCAGCCTCCTTATTCCCTTTGTGTAATAAACTTAGACTTTGGGCGTCGGGGCAATCTTCAGGGTGAAGACTTAGCTGGGGTGCTGGATTGGGAATCCTCCATCAGCAGCACCATGCCTGGAGAGGCCCCTGCCCTGTGGCAGGGTAAGCCTCCTGTCTCCCACCCTCCCTCACTGCTCAAAGGTCTGAGGGTGCTTGTGGGTAAAATCCAGGAAGCTTAGGGGGCTACCTGTACCTCAGACCACTCCACATCTCTTCCTTGGCCATGGGTCTCACCCACAGTACCTTGTTTCACCTCCCTTCCCCAGAAAAAAAATCTCTTTGATCCTGTGATTTTTCCATGTGCCACTACTGTCCATCAGACTCTCCATCCCCATCACTGCCCAGTGCCTGATGCCACTGATCCCTGTCCACCTCCTTCCTACCATCCCATCTCAAAAAAATGCCAGCCCTATTCACCCAGGCCAGAAACTGTAGCCTGAAGCTAGCCTAACTCTCCCCCAATTTTCATTCACCCCTTCTCCGGCCAAGTTAGATCTCACACCCATCACTCCTCTCCATTCCCATTCCCACAGAATGAAGCCAGCCTTGCTTCATTTCATTCATAAACCAATCCAATCCCTGCTTCGGGGTTCCATCCAGACCAAACCTGAGGTAGTTCTCTCAACATTCTAGTTCCTCAGCTCAGGACTCCTCAATAATTTCATCCTGCTCAGACTACAAACCTGTGCCTCCCAGCTCTCCAGACCTCCCTGGGACTCTGTCATACAGACTATGACCTAAGCATCCACCTGCTGAGCTCTAAACTCAGAGCACCAGCCACACCTTTAGCCCCGCCCTGCCTAAGGCCCCAACCCCAAGGAAGCTTTCAATTTCCCAAGGGTCCCGTGGCCCTCCTAATCCGCCTGTCCTGAGAGCCCCGTCCTGATTGGCTGCCGACCAATCCAATCACTGCACCCCGGCCCCAGGACGCCTCGGTCCAGCCCTTGCACCCTGTGGAGATCGCCCCTAACAGCCCCGCCCAGACCCGAAGAGGTCCTAGGGGAAGCTTGCCACCTGGACAGCTGGGCCAACAGCAAAACCCAAGGAATTCTAGGGTCATGGCCCGGTTCCAAAAGGTGGAACTGGCCGAGGCCCTGGAGTTGGGTCCCAACTGGAGACACTTCTGTTACGTACTGCTCTACGCACCCAACCCGGGGATGCTCTTCGACCGCATCCCGCTGCGGTACGCCGTGCTGGTGAGGAGGGGGCGCGCCTGGCCACTCCCCGCTCCAACCCGACACCGTCCTGGGGGGGGGGGCGCTGCCTTTTCAGCAGCCAACCCCACTTCCCCTCCCTCAGATGCAGATGCGGTTCGATGGACGCCTGGGCTTCCCAGGAGGCTTTATGGAAATGCAGGACAGCAGCCTGGAGGACGGGCTGAACCGAGAATTGCAGGAAAAGTTGGGAGAGGCAGCGTCTGCCTTCCGCGTGGAGCGCACAGATCACCGAAGCTCACGCGCCGGGACAAAACCAAATATAGTGGCCCACTTCTACACCAAGCTTCTGACCCTAGAGCAGCTGGAGGCTTTGGAAGCTAGCGCACCACGAGCCAAAGACCATGGGCTGGAGGTGGGGCCAGCCTGGGTCCTGCCCCACACCCCTTCTGCCTCTCTTTCCCCATGGGTTCCCAGCCAAAAAGGAAACCTCCAACCAAACCATGCACTCTTGCTCAGTTTCCAGGAATAGTTGGAATTTTGTTTATCTCTAATCTGGATAGTACTGAGTACTGCCAACCTGGTCTCCCTTCCCCATCTACTGGCCTCTGCCGACCAGGTTTCTCTGCTGTTCTTTATTGATAATGTGATAACGATCAGTGGCGACACTCTAAGCACTTATCTTTGGGCCCTTATTTTTCATAGGTAGAAAATATAGCCCTGATGCTCAAGGCTAGAGGAGTAGGGAGATAGAGGTAGGTTCTCAAATTGTGGCGTGTATCAGAATCAAGAGGAGGAAAACGTATTAAAACAGCGATTACTGTGCTCACTTTGGCAGTACATATATTAAAACAGTACATGTATCCCCAACTGCTGGTGAGAGGTGGGGCTGGAGAAAGTCTGGAGAATTTGCATTTTTTACTAGGTCCCAAGTGAGGCTGAAACAGCTGCTGTAGGTTCTACATTCAAGAACCTCTGGTACCTAGAGGTTCTAGAACCGTGTCTGAATCCCAGAGACGAGTCACTAAATTTTTCAGGGAGAGAGGTAGGGAAAATGAGTAGCATTTATGGACCTAGAGACCATGTCTTGGGTTAGGTGCCTGCTCAGGGTTGGACCAAGTCTGCTTCACTGAGGATTGAGCCTTGGGGCTGGTTCTGCCTGGTGTTAAGGGAGGTAAGACCTCTGCTCTAGAGAGATATGTTGCAGAGGGTTCAGGTAACATGACAAGCTACGTGGGGTCCAAATGTCTCCTGTCTCCTTGTTTTCACAGGTTCTGGGCCTTGTGCGGGTGCCTTTGTATACCCTGACTGCCTTCCTGGAGAATTCCTTTATTGGCAATGCCCGGGAGGAGCTACTAGAAGCCCTCTGTGACTTACAAATTCTGGAACCTGGCTCTTTCTCAAACCTTAAGATCCCAGCTCATCACCTTCCAAGGACCCATGGAACCTGAGACTAGGACCTTGGTACTAGGAATGGAGGGATGAAGGGAAAGGGGAATGTTTTCTCTTCTGAGCCTGAGAGATAATACCAGATTAAAAGGACATGTGTATGCGATGTGTTTTGAGCAGAGGGCCTTCCAAACTCAGGACATCAGGGACAGAAGTTCATAGCTCATCCCAGCAATCCTGGCAGATTCTCAGGGTCGGCCTCCTCTTTATGCATGTGCATACACAGCCTGAAAACCCCAGGCTTACACAGGAAGAACCTGTGACCACACACAGTCTGACCCCTTTGTCCCATCATGTCTAGGCTAACCGGGAAGTGGCATTTGTGGGGCCTGCCTTGTCATCCTCCCTGCTCCTTCCTGAGGCGGGGCTTCCCCATCTCCTGCATGGCTGCTCTCCATGGGCTAGCCCAGCTTTCATTCACTGGGGAGGGCAGAGGCAGAGGACCCTCTGTTCCCTGAGATGCTCCCACCCTTCCCTGGGGGTTGACCATAGTTGTGGGCTCCTGAAAGTAGGCAGAGGTCCTAATGGATACCTCACAGTTTTCTTCCTTGAAACTAAGCATAAGGGCTAAGATAGTGTCAAGGTCTTCTTGGGCTGACCTTGAGGCTAAGCCTCATTCCTGGTGCCTGGTCTTTTAGCTACCTAGGTTCTGAGGAAGGAACTGACCCAGCCCCTTATTAGCCCTCCCAGAACTGATAATTGAACATTAAGGCCTTCTGTTGTTTCAACAGTTATGTAGCTACTAAATGCCAAGTATAGCAAAAGGTACAGAAATCCATTGCTCTAGCTCTTCAAGACTCCAGAACAGGGTCAATTTTTTTTTATTTTTTTATTTTATTTTGGGGGGTACGGGGGATTGAACTCAGAGGCATTCAACCACTAAGCCACATGCCCAGCCCTATTTTGTATTTTATTTAGAGACAAGGTCTTACTGAATTGCTTAGCACCTTGTCATTGCTGAGTTTGGCTTTGAACTAGCAATCCTCCTGTCCCAGCCTCCTGAGCCACTGGGATTATAGGCATGTGCCACCCCACCCAGCCAAAGTCTTTTTTCTTAATCACATACAACATATATTGTATATCACATAAAACAAGTCATTTTAAAAGTATGTACATTGTGGAATGGCTAAAGGGAGCTAATGAACATATGCATTACCTCATATACTGGTCATTTCTTTGTGTGGTAAGAATTCTTAAAATGTACTCAGCAGTTTTGAAGAACACACTGCCTTGTTTATTAACTATGGTCAGGATGTTGTGAATCTACCCCTTGAATTTATTACTTGTAAATTAAATTTTTTAGCCTTTGACCAAGAACTCTCCAATCCACCCCAGTCCCTGGTAACCAGAATTCTGTTCTCTTTCATTTTTTTAGATAGCTCATATAAGAGAGAACATGCAGTACTTTCCACATCTTGACTATTGTGAACAATGCTACAATGAACTTGGGAAGGCAAAAATCTCTTCCACATTCTGATTTTCTTTCCTTTGAATATATATGTAGCAGTGGGATTGTTGGATCTTATGGTAAGTTTATTTTTAATCTTTTTAGGAATCTCCATACCGTCTTCCATAATGACTGTACTAATTTACATTCCCACCAATGGTGTTCAAGGGTTCTCTCCTCTCCACTCTTGTCTTTTGACTTTTCCATAATAACCATTCTAACAGGTATGAGGCGGCGGCTCATTATGATTTTAAATTACATTTCCCTGATAATTAGTGATGTTTAGTATTTTTTCTTATACACGTTGGTCATTTGTATGTCTTCTCCTAAGAAATGTCTGATAGGCTTTTTGCCCAATTTTTAATCAAGCTATTACCTTGCTATTGAGTTAGGTTCTGTGTGCATTTTGGATGTTAATTCTCTATCATATGTTTGTTTTACAAATATTTTCTACCATTCTGTAGTTAGGTTCTGTGTGCATTTTGGATGTTAATTCTCTATCATATGTTTGTTTTACAAATATTTTCTACCATTCTGTAGAATACCTATTCACCGTTTATTGTTTACTCTACAGAAGCTTTTTCATTCGATACAATTCTATTTCTCTATTTTTGCATTTGTTGCTCTTATTGTTTAGGCCATATAAAAAAAGAATTATTGGAGCTTTCCTACTTTATTTTCTCCCAGTAGTTTTATAGTTTTATGTTCCATGTTCACATCTATAATCCATTTTGAGTTTATTTTTAATTTGGGGTGAGATAAAAGATATAATTTCATTCTTTTTTTTGTTTGGGGGGATACCCAGGATTGAACTCAGGGGCACTCAACCACTAAGCCACATCCCTAGCCCTTTTTTTTGTATTTTTATTTAGAGACAGGGTCTCACTGAGCTGCTTAGCACCTTGACTTTGCTGAGGCTGGCTTTGAACTCACGATCCTCCTGCCTCAGCCTCCTGAGCTACTGGGACATATTTGCATGTGGATATGCAGTTGTCCCAACATCATTTATTGAAGAGTCTTCTTTCCCTTTTTGTGTGTTAATTTGTACCTTGTTGAAAATCATTTGACTCTAAATGAATGGATTTGCTTCTGGGCTCTCCATTCTGTTCTGTTGATCCACACACGTTTGTGCCAGTTCCATGTTGTTTCGATTACTGTCACTTTGTGGTATATTTTTAAGTCAACTGTTGTGATACCTCTCACTTTGCTTGTTTGCTCAAGATTGCATTGACTATTCAGGATCTTTTGTGGTTCCATACACATTTTAGAATTGTCTTATTTCTGTGAAATGTCACTGGAATTTTGATAGGGATTACATTGAATCTGTAGATCATTTTCAGCATATGAACATTTAATGATGTTGATTCTTCCAATCTGTGATCCTGGGATCTCTTTCCATTTATTTGTGTCAGCTTCAATTACAATCATCAATATTTATTCCTAAATATTTTCAGTTTGTAGTTATTGTAAATGGGATTGTTCTTTTTATTTCTTTTTCAGATAGTTTGTCATCAGTGCATAGGAATGCTTCTTATTTTTGTTAACTTTTTATCTAAAAATTTACTGAACTTTTAAAAACCACTGTTTTGCCTTATTTTTTAAATTTTTTATCTTATTTTAGAGTTGTAGTTGGACACAATACCTTTATTTTATTTTTGTGTGGTGCTGAGAATCGAACCTAGGGCCTCGCATGTGCTAGGCAAGCGCTCTGCCATTGAGCCACAACCCTAGCACCATGCCTTATTTTTAAAGAACTTTAATTTATTTTTATTTTTTCCTTTAATTTTTTGTATTTTTAGATATACATGACAGTAGAGTGTATTTTGACATGGAATATAACTTGTTCTAATTAGAATCCCATTCTTATAGTTGTACATGATGTGGAGTTTCACTGATCATGTATTCATATATGAAAATAAGAAAGTAGTTATATTTGATTCATTCTACTGTCTTTCTTATTTCAATCCTTCCTCCCTTCTCTTCATTCCCCTTTGTCTAATCCAATGAATTTCTATTTTATTTCTTTAATGTGGTGCTGAGGATCAAACCCAGTTCCCCACACATGCTAGGCAAGCATTCTACCACTGAGCCACAACCCCAAGCCCCTGAATTTTTTTATTAGTCTATAGGTACTATTAGATATAAAATAATGTGACTTGCAAACAAGGACAATTTAACTTCTTCCTGTCCAATTGAGTACCTTTAATTTCTTTCTCTTGCCTATTTTCTCTGGATAGTGCTTCCAGTGTTATGTTAAATGGGCATTCTTATTTTATTTCAGATCCTAGAGGAAAAGCTTTCAGTTTTCACTGTTGAGTATGATATTAGCTGTCTATTGGTTATATATGGACTTTACTGGGTTTATGTACAGTTTTTCCATCCCTAATTTGTTGAAAGTTTCTACCATCAAAACATGTTGAATTTTGCCAATTTTTTCCCTGCAATTATTGGAATAATTTTTCCCTTTTATTCTGTTAACATGGTATATCACATTTATTGATTTGTACATTTTTAAACATCATTGCATCCTTGGGATAAATCTTGCTTGGTCATGGTGAACAATCCTTTTTATATGCTGGTAAATTCAATTTGTTACCATCTTTTTGAGGATTTTTGCATCTGTGTTCATCAGGGATATTGGTCTATAGTTTTTTATACTGTTCTTGTCTGGCTTTGGTATCAGCGTCGTGATGTCCTTAAAAAATTAATCTGGGGGCTGGGGTTGTATAGCAGAGTGCTTGACTACCATGTGCAAGGCCCTGGGTTCAATTCTCAGCACCACATATAAATGAATAAAACAAATGTCCTTCAACAACTAAAAGAAATTAATCTGGAATTATTTATTCTTCGATTATTTTTGGAAGAGTTTGGGAAGAATTTATATTAGTTCTTCTTTAAATGTCTGGCAGAATTAGTAGTGAAGCATAAGTTTTTCTTAATGAGAAAGAGAAAAATTTTATTACTGATTCAATCTTACTTATTAGTGTCTGTCAGATTTTGTTTTTCTTCATGATTCAGTTTTGGTAAGTTGTATGTGTCTAGAATTTTATTGATTTCTATTCAATTTTTTGGCAAACAATTATTCGTTATAGCCATTTGGATGTTTTGTATCCCTTGATTAACAGTTCTAATATCTCTTCTTTCACCCCGATTTTATTAATTTGAGTTAATTTCTCTTAATCTAGCTAAAGCTGTGTCAATTTATTTTTTTTTTCAAAAAGTGACTCTTAGTGCCATTAATTCTTTTTCTAGCTTTATTTCTTCTCTGATCTGTATTATTTCTTTCCTTATACTAACTTTGACCTTAGTTTGTTCTTTGTCTAGTTCCTGGAGGTTGTTATTGAAGATATTTCTTATTTCTCGTTGTAGGCATTTACTCCTATTGACTTACCTCCTAGGTTTACTTTTGTTGCATCTTATAGATTTTGATACATTTTGTGTTCATTTTGACTTGTTTCAAGATATTTTTAAATTTCTCTTTTAATTTCTTCTTTGACCCATTGGTTGTACAGAAACTTGTTTAATTCCCATGGATCTGTAGATTTTCTGAAACTT